AATTCTAAAAGCGTAAACCATGTTGGGCTAATATTTCAATCATGATATTGTTCTCAACAAACTTCACCATACAATAACAGGCTTTATAACCACCTGAAACTTGCGTTATGTAAGTCTATTCAAGCTTTTGCGTCAAACTGTCTAAAACAACTGCTTTGTCATTACGTACGCTAAACTTCTAAAAGAGTAAGTTTTATAAAATATATTAAGTTGTTTCGTTGTTATTATTTCTTAAAATTGCAAGTAGTCTCATTACCTAACATGTGAGTTGTAACGAAAACAATTAGAGCACTTTGATTAAAATCGAATCAAAAAAGCAAAATATTGTAATAGTTTCGAAGAAAAGTATCTAAAGATTAGTAGATGTTGCTTAGGTCTGAATGACACTGCGAGCAGATTTTATTGAGCGGAAACCATCCATAATCAACGGCTGGTGAGATGCAAAACCAATTGAGCTTTGATAACGTGAAAAGGCAACACCAATATTACTCTTTTATTCTTAAAAGATTCTTAATCAAGCTAAAATCGACAAATATCGGACAAAATGACACATAAAAAGACCAGATCCTCAATGTGAGCCTTACAGCTTTAGATGGAATACTCTGATAAAGAATCAAAAGCAAAAATAACATAATGTGAAGCAAGTCACAGTGCAAAGTGAGCTCTACGTTACAGAAGAAGGTTGTTTAAAACACGAGAAACCTTTTGTGTTCTTATCAGCGAGTTTGGCTGTGAGCTGTATCAACTAGAAGCAGAGAAATAGCGTTAGTCAGGAAATTTTGGTTTCCATTAAACAAGTATTCTTTGAATTTATTCTCGTACATACACGATGTCATAGCGTGGTAATTCAACTTGTCCATATTGATGTAAGTATCCGTAGCTTTCAAGCTGCCGCAAGTTCCAGTATAATTGACGAAAGTTCTCATTCTCTTCCGACCAAACACTAAATAAAAAAATGATTTTCTCTATTGATAAGCCCAGAACAGACGAAATGGTTAAACTCACTGTCCCCGCACGCTCAACTGAGTGAAACGTGTTTCATTGGCTAACCGCAGTAAGTTGGGAAATAAAGTGAACTCTCCACCATTCATGTCAATAATAAGCAGATCAATATTCTGACCGCCAAATAAATCATCAACTGTTTCTTCTGAAATTTGTTTGAATTTCCAAAATAAAAACACTTGGGCTCTGCACTACAAAAAATGTCTGATATCAGACGGCTTCTACATCAATTGGAGCAATTATTAACGCAGCATAAACAGCATACCAAGAGTTTTGAGAATCCATAACTTATCACTGCTCTGATTCATCCCAGCTGGTCCGATGCCATGATTGCGAACGTTTAGGCCAACTCTAAAGATAAAACGCTTGCGGTATACTGAAGAAAATTTTCAAGAAATGATAAATTTGCGAAGCTGTGTTTGCAGTGCTTAATTTCAGATTAGGATATTTTGACTCAAATAACAAATTTGAAACGTTCGTTAACAGGTCCGCTTCCCTTTAGAAAATATACAGTATAGCACAAAGATTGTACTGCTCAGTGGACAAGTTATTTCAAAGACGTAGAGGGCAACATATGTGCAGCTTGACCTCTCAATTAACTCTTTAGAATTAGAGTAAGAGGTGTTGAAGATGAATAGAGCAGAGTAATTTTGCAAATCTCTATAAGAAATGTGAGCGAAAGCGTAAATTTGGATCTAATCTCAACCTAATCCAAATGTTACCAAAGCGAAAATCTAATTTGTCATTATTGCCGTTTTCGTAGTAGTTACATTTCAGTAAAAATTAACACCTCTAACGTAAACTAACCCGTGGTGATGTTTTATTGGCGTAACAACGTGAAAATTCCTTAACTTTGCTAAATCTTCCGGCACATCCAGAGATGGTTGATAGCTAAATCTCAGGGTATAAGAAATAGACATAAAGCGAACAGTGGTGACAGATCCATGTTTCAAAATGCTAAATGTAAACTACTGTATTGAAAACTACGTACCTAATCAAGAGTACGCTAGCATCATCGCTTACAATTGTGTGACAATATGTGGGAAAATTAGAATGAAGTGTTACTGAACAGTTAGAAGCCTGCACATAATGGACCAAACGCTTTAATTCCTCTTGTGGTGAACCTAGGATACTAAAGTTTACCAGATTTTTCTAGTTTATAGGATAAGAAATTCATTTACCTAATCCAAATACTGGCGCTACAATATGAGAATGGCGGTGGATGGTGTCCACACGTAGCAGACTTACGTAGTATTTACAACTCCTAG